TAAAAATTAATTTTAAAATATTTTAACTATAAATACTAAAAAAAAGCATCATTTGATGAGGGGCCAAACTTGCTAATAATAAAAATCTTTTTCATTTAATAATTTCTGTTGTATAATTTAGACGTAAAACTAGAATCTTTTTATTTTTGTTAAAAAAATGATATTTTTTAGAAAAGAAAATGTTTTATGGCCTGGGGGGGTTGAACCTTGGGTGCTGACGTGGAAGGGGTGATTGGGTCAGATTTGGCGTGCCTGAAACACGGAACAAGACCGGGGGTTTGATGGTGGCCCTGGGAATTGCCCTGGTATCGTTATGTGGCCAATGATTTGATAGACTAAACAAGTTGTTGGTTGTTAAAATCGGATTGGTCGAATTGAGTACAAAGCAAGGATGTTTGGTATGGTTTAGTTTAAATCTTCAATACAATAATTTTTCTCTCACTAGGGTATTTTGATCGAGATTCGGGTTTAAAAGTTTATTGTATTTGGATCAATGTCTAAAAATTTAGGTTCTCATAAATATACCTGCGATTTTTTTATAGGAAAGAGACAAAATTTATTAATTAAAGAAATAGAGATTTCTACAATTAACTAAATAAGTAGCTAAAATTTTAAAAAAAAATTTTGAATTTTCGGTTGCTTTTTCACTAGAAAAACATCACACATAATAAAGTCATGAAATTTCGTAATAATTATTTGAAAATTACATATCTATTTATCTTAAAATTTAGTAGTTTATACTTAAAAAATCTTGTAATTAAATCCTATTCTATCCAAATTAATCGATTTTGAACTAATTTTATGTAAATGCTTTAGATTTTAAATTTTCAAACACGACTTTGAAATATATATTTTAACATCTTTTTATGACAATGGATTCAAAATTTTATATTCAAATAGTTCTTCAATATCACTAAAATTGAAAAAATATATATTTTCCTTTTGAATTAAATAAAAAGGCATCTGGTAATTGAAGTAAAGACAAGCCATATTTATAACACCAAAGCAAAGCATTAAACATTTACTTAATCACTGTGGGATATACTAACAAATCTAAAACTTTGCACATGACTTAGAAGATCGAATGATTACAAATCGTGTTGAATGTTGAATGGTGCATCTCACAATTTTTGGATGAGGTTTGAATTCCCTTTTTCTCAAAAAATTATAATTTATTAAAAAAACTAATCATAAACTTTAATTTAAGGATAATATTAAATATTTAAATTTTTACGATGTTAAGTGCTTAATTTATTATATATAAAAAATAATTGGTATGGGTTAGTAAACATTAAAAAAAATCATTAATTTATGAAAACTGAAGGAATTAGAAGACCAATAAAAAAAAAAAAAAAAAACAAACAAACAAACAAACCATACCTATAACAATAATGAATACATCGCCATCGCTCCCTGGATGTAACAATGCGAAAACAAGAGGGAGATCACGTTTTAAGCATAGAAACGAACCCGTTCCTGATGTCTTTGTCAACGGAAGATGTAGGACTTAGGTTGTGTTTGTAGCTGAGATTGAGAGTTTTTCCTTGTAATTGTATAATTGTTTTCCCTAAAACCTTTTCCTCTCAGCTGCTTGTGGCAGAAGTTATTCAAGCATACCACTTGTTCTACTTAAAATAAAAAAGAAATTTCTAGCAACTTTCACTTTTTCCTAAGTGTTCAAGTGCAGGAGCTTGTTTAAAAGTTTATGAAAAATGTCATTTGATTGAAAAATTGTGTCAATAATACCATGGTCAGATGATTGTAGCAAAAATTGGGATGCATTTCTATATAAAGATTCATAAATAATTACTCTGGAAGAATATCAAGAAATTCCCACATTTAAGGTCATAATAAAATTAGTTTGTTAGGCAAAATAAGAATAAATATGAAAATGAGAAAAATGAATCCTAAAGGATGATCTAAGGCTAAAGTAATGAAAGGATATAAAACTAAAGATTATGACAAAAATCTTAAAACGCTGTTAAAATTAAAATCTAAGAGTGCTAGCAAAAATGTAAATCGAAAATAGTAGAAATATAGAGAATTAGCTATTGATAAAAATAAAATGAAACTGAGATCTACTTGAAATCTTAAAAAAAACCGCAATTAGAGACTAAAATATAAATTTGTTAATAAAGTAGAGACTAAAGTTAGATAGAAATGTAAATGCCTGATAGAAATGCAAAGTGTGTAGGCAAAAGAACAATCGTATTAAATTTAACTACTAAAGTTAATCTAACAAAAACAACAAAAACAAAGAATACATTGAGGGAGTTGAACCTCTTTTATACTAAAAAAAAAAAGCTATAGAGTTGCTGTATGAACTATTTATGAACTAAACAAGCGTTAAGTTAAGACATGTTAAAATATAAATGTTATTGAGAGGGGCAAACCTCCTAAAAAATGTGTTGAAGTGTTGTATGTATGGACCTCCATTACAAAAATTGATTGCCAGAAATCAAATCTAATTCTAATTTTATTTAACTCCCCTATTATCATGCTTGATCAAATCAAAGGAATTTCAACAATTTTTGAATCTCTCCTTACGAAATGGATTTTTGTCACATGTCATTTAGCTGTTAAAAACGAAATTTTGGTTGTCAAAAACCTCTAGAATCAGGCTTGTTGTAACCATTGTTGATTTTTCTCAACTAAACTGAATAATTCTACACTATATCTACAAACTCCCTAATTTTGTAGAACCTCACCTTTTCTCTTTCACTTTTGCTATGTAGCGAAAACTCATTATACTAAAATTTCTCCTTATTGTAGACTGCATCACACCAAATCATGACTATTGATCATCTTTCAAAATTTCATTGGATCTCTATTGGGGACACCTGATATCATTGACAAAATTGTTGAATGTGGTGTTAACAATAATACTTTTAAATATATGTATGTTTAATGTTTTTTTTTTTTAATTGCTTTTTTAAAAGTTACAAAAAAGTTACAACAATTTATAATATTTTTATATTTAAAGCAAAAAAACTCTATTTTTTTAGCTTTCTAATTGTGATTTTTACGAAAAATACCTAATATTAAATATAATTATAAAATTACCTATTAAAACCTAATATCATATAATTCAATTGCATTATAATTCATAATATTTTATTTAAACTTAACTTTTTTATTATTTTAAAGATTTTATAAAAAATTTAAAAATTCATTCTCTCCTTACTCTCCTGCGAAACTCCAAAAAAATATCCATTATAACAAATCTAAAAAACCTAAATTATTAAGAAATGGAAAATATTATATATTTTAATAATTATATATTATATAAT